TCTTTTTCTTCTTCGTCTTCACCTTTCATCTCTGTCCTACATTATCTTTTAACGTCCCCTCCCTTTTTCTCACTACCTCACCCCCCACTCCTCCCACTCCTCCCCCACAGCGTCACACTGTCACAGCCAGTGGCTCCTCCCCAGCTTTTGTTCATCCATCACATTTGCCTACAAAGAGACAAGGCACTCTTCACTATTGTGAAGAACTGCATTCTGGGAAAATGAGAGTGTCTTGTTTTCAGACAGAGTAAGACGGTGTCATCCTCAGTTCACTGTTCACACAGGAGTGAATGCTTTTTCACACCTTTGAAAGGCTCTTGTCTCATGTAAAGGTGTGAATGATTATAAATATTTCCCAGCAGCCACTGCACTTGTTAAAGTCGCTTTAAATACATATCAGAGAGTACTAACCAGGACACTGTTAGTACTGTTTCTGGTCGAGACCCAGGAGAACTGTCAAAGGTGTTGGTCTGGGTCACAGGTCACAGGTCACAGGTCACTGGTCCTTAACCCTAACCTTTGCAGGAGGAAGAATCATGACGCTAACTCAACGACACACATTTCTGTTGACCAACCAATGAGTGATGTGCGGAGGTCAAGGTCACGTGACTGATATCATGGAAAATATGAAAAACAACCCAGGCCGGTGGACAGAGAGAGAGCGAGAGAGACAGAGAGAGAGAGAAAACAAGCAGAGAGAGAGAGAGAGAAAGAGAGAGAGAGAGAGAGAGAGTTCAGGGGATGAACTGGTGTCAGCAGCAAAAGACACACACACACACACACCTTTCCCACAGGACACCTGTGCTGTAAACAGGTGTCTTGTCCTGTTGGTTCAACAGCAGAATCGCAGCAGAATTTAATCATTCTTTCCTGTGTAAACAGATGTGTTTGAATGCTAATGCTAATGCTAACTCACTGCTCCATGTTCAGGAAAGTGTACGGTACCAGGAAGTACAGTAAGAAAGGACTAGTACCAGCAGAGTCACACTCCTGTGCCACAGCACAGCCATTAGCACATGGGCTAACACGACATGTCAAGCTAACACGACATGTCAAGCTAACACGACATGTCAAGCTAACACGACATGTCTACACTGAAGTCTACTAATTATGAAGTGGCTGTAGCTGCAGCAGCAAAGCTAAAAAAGAACTAACAGAGTTTGGATGTTTTTCATGTTACTGTGATATATGTAGATATAAAGATC